GGGATGCCCGCCAGGACGGGCGCTGCTTGGCGTGCGCGCGTCTTTTTTGCACCTGGGGGCGCGCGCACCATGCGTCTTGCACTAGCGCCCAAGTAGCCCTTTTTTGAGGGGCTGGCGGTTCGGAGGAGGAATTTATTATCATCTTCTCGTGGCCGATCCCAAAGCTTGCACAGAAGGTTTACGATTTAGCTGGCGAAGCCGACGATGGAGGGCGGATGCTTTTCAAAACTGCTCACGCTTTGCGTTCGCTTCCTGGGTCAGTTCGTCAACGCCCCCACAACCCCCCCCCCCCTGCCCCCGTTGTCGACCGCGTTCGGGAGCTCGTATCGGGCCTTGCGTCAAAATCATACCTACAGCTCCCCTAAGTGGCGTGGCGGCCTTTGTGTCCTGCCTCTCCCCCAGCACCTCCTCCTCCTCTGCCTGTGCGTCCTCCCAAGTGCCGCCCCTCCTCCCCCGTCCTCCTTTTTCCCCGCCTCCTTCTCCTCCTCCTCCTGCCCCTCCTCCTCCTCATCCTCATCCTCTTCCTCCGCGTCCTCCCCCCCCTCTTTCTCCTCGCTCGCCATTTCATTATCATCCAGCGGGTTTTCCGCTTTTTCATTTTCATCCAGCGGGCTTCCCGCTCTTTCATCGGCGTATACTGCCGCCGTTTAAGCTTGAGCCAAGGTTAACCAGCGGCGCATCCGCTCTGCGTCTTTCAACCTCTCACCTCTCACCTTTTCACTTCCCACCTCTCACCTTTCAACCTCTCACCTCTCATGCCCGTGGCCCTGGCGCCTCTCCCGCGTCTCTACGCGGGCGCGCCGATCGGCGCGACCGCCGCGATTCTGGCCATGCAGCTCAAGGCCAAGAAGCGCGATGTAAGAAACCTTCGAGCTCAGCTGCGCTACGCTCGGAAGAAGCTCGCGCAGTTCACTGGGCAGCAGGCCAAGCCAGTGGTCGTGGCGAATAAGCCCAGCCCGACGCCCAGCCCGACGACGGCGCGCTCGACGGACCAGCCGAAGACGCCGAGCTCGACGGACCAGCCGAAGACGGACCAGCCGAAGACGGCGCGCTCGACGGACCAGCCGAAGACGAACAGTTCGACGGACCAGCCGAAGACGGTGCGCTCGACGGACCAGCCGACGACGAACAAGCCGAAGACGAACAAGCCGAAAACGAACAAGCCGAAGACGAACAAGCCGAAGACGAGCAGCTCGACGGACCCGCCAGCGCAGAAGAAGTACAAGGTGCCACCGATCGTTCTTCCCGACGGGGTCTTCATCGGCCCGCCAGAGCCGTGCATCTGGGTCCTCAAGACGGGTTCGCAGCTCCAGGTCGACGAGGTTGGCGTCGTGCACTCTGTTGGCGGTGACAAGTTTTCAGCGGTGTCGGGCAGGGGTTTTGAGCTCAGCAGGTACCACTTGCGGAAGACTGACTTCTGGGTTTCGTACAGCTTCTAGGCCAGTGGACGTCGCCCGCCCCTGTTGTGCGACGGCGTAAGAGCTCCGTGGACAGCACGGCTCTCGGATTTAATCAACATCATTGGCGCAACTGCCATATTCGCACTTGTCGTATCCGTCACCTTCATTACCATCACCTACATTTCCTCGCTTGTTGCCATCGCGACAGGTGGTGGTCAGCCTTTCAATCAACAGCATCATGCACATCATGACCACAGCCACCATATTAGACGGGGGGCACCCAACTGTCATCACCACAATCGACATCAGCACCATCACAACCAGTACGACCACCAGCGTTGCCATGATCCTGACACACAGCGCCATCACCAGCAGTGTCACTGCAGCGGCCGCACCCTCCCTCCTCCCCCCATCGCGTTTGTCCCATCTCGCGGGGTGGGCGGGGCCCCGTGAACAGTTTGGCCCCCTTGGCGTTCGAGGGCCCCTCCCCTTGCGCAGAACGCGCGGCGGGGGCCAAATACCTAGCATGCAACTTGAGAGGAAGAGGGGGGTAGTATTCATGTTACGTGGTTGTTGATGGGGCGCACGCCCCCCGCCCCCTCCCCCCACCCCTCCCCCCGCCCCCCTCCTCCATCATTCGGGCCCCTCAGCGGCTTATCCGCTTCGCCCTGCCATTCCCAAGCCCTGCCGTTTTTGGCTAACCCCAGCGGCTTCTCCGCTTCAGCCGTTCCACCTCAGCCGTTTTTGTTGGCTCAGCTGGTTAACTCAGCTCAGCGGCTACTCCGCTTTCTGCGCGCCACGTCAGACGCGCCGACGTTGCGGATACGGCTTGGCGCAGTCAGGTCTGCATTGGCAGACCTCAGCGGGGCGCGGCACGAGCAGCTATCCAAGGCCCAGGCCAACGCCGTGGTCTACATGCTCCAGCGCGCGCAGCTCAACCCAGATGAGAAAGCAACCCTGGCTCTGATGTCCAGCCAGGTGAACTGGTTCGACGGCCACGACGCCCAGATCATGTCCCTGCTCGTGGCATCACCTGCGCCGCGCCAGAGCACCACTGGCAACATTGGCCAGCAGTACACGAGCTTCGTGGACTTTTTCACGGAGGCCGAATGGAAGAAGATGCTAGAGGAGAATCCGTCTTCGTCGGCGATCCTGTCTCTCATCATTTCGCGTGTGATCCGCCTCGGGGGGCGCAACGTGTGCGAATACTCGAACAAGCTAATGACTTCGCTCTGGCTTATGCTTTGCGACCCTTCTGTGGACCCGATGTCGTTCTTTCAGAAGAAAAAGCAGTTCCTCTACGTCAAGAGAGAATACAGGCGCATTGCAGACAAGACGCCGAGGCTGATGATGGATCAGCGTACCGACACACTGCCTCCTCTGCCAGACGAGTTCGCCACGCTCTACCCTGCCGCGTACAACAAAGCGTTCAGCACCAGGCCTGGCGATGGGCCCACGAGGTGCCCGCTCAACATGAAGAGGCTGCTCGATATCGACAACTCCTACAGGTGCCGCGGCTCGGGACCCGAGCTGGACTTCCAGCGCGGCGCACAGTCTAGCGCGACATCCCCGGCGCTTGCCCCCATCGAGCCGCAGTCGGACATCAGGCAGATGCTGCTCCAGTCGCAGCAGCAGATGCAGCAGATGCAGGCCTTTGCCATAAACGCGATGCAGCTCGTGGCGGGCAATCGCGGTGGCGCTGCGGCCCCAGGCAGCGGCGGCGCTGGGAACGGCCTCCTCGAGAACCTGGAAGTGTTCTCCCAGGGCGCGCGTGCTGGTGGACGCCCGAGCTCGAATCGGTTACAGCTGTTGACGCCAGACCACCACCGCCAGCAGAGCGCTCCGTCGCCACACCAGCAGCGCGGCGACCTTGCGCCGCCGCTGGACCAGGCCGATGGGCACCATGAAAGTCGCATGGCGCCTCTGCCCCAGCCAGAGTCGGCGCCCGACCATGGCGCCATCCAGGTCACGCCCCAGCGCCATCGAGACCAGCCAGCCGCACCTGGTGATCAGCCCGTCGCCCCCCCCCAAGGGTCCCCCTCAAGGACTCCGTGCAGAACGCGATGAAGATGATGGAGGAGAGGAGGCTCGCCGCCAAGGGCAGGAAGCGCGCTTTCAGCGTTTCTAAGAAGCCAGCTTGCGCCGCCATCTGCGACGCCGCCGAGGACGAGGGCGAGGATGGCGCCGCCGAGGACGAGGGCGACGATGCATCAGATGAGGACGATGTAGTGACGACGCCGCCGCCCATGAAGTCGGTGATGAAGGCCGCTCGCAAGGCCACTCCGCCGCCCATGAAGTCGGCGATGGGGGCCACTACCAAGGGCGGCAGCGGGAAGACGAAAGGGATTGACTATTCCGACCTGTTGTCCATCACCAAGTCCACGATGAAGAAGACCACCCGCGGTGCCTTCACGTCGAAAGCTTACGACAACACGAAGAAGCGGGCATCCGTCGCTGGCATGTCGCCAGCCAAGGTTCTGGTGATCGCCAGGGAGGCGTACGCTGCCGCCGCGTCCAAGTGGGACGAGCTCAAAGTTTGCTAGTACATGCAGGTACAGTCTTGGTGGGCAGGGAGGTTGCATGCGCAGATCACTGTAGGATTCTATCTCCCAGCTTCGCTGCGCCTTGCCCTCGTCGGGGCGAGGGCGGGTTCGGCAAGTGTCGGGCGCCAACCACCGACTCACGCTGCAGCTTGCGGATGCTTGCGTGCGGCTGTTCAATTACACTACGAGTGTAGCTTGTGCGCGCGTTTTGCTCGGTAAACATTCATCCGTCTGCGCAGAGGCATTACACCCTGCACAAATGAGAGCCCACGTCAGGTGCGACGCGCGCAGCGCACCCGCACGATTCATGCACCATGGTTGTGTTACCAACACATTATCAACAGCATGTGATAACGAGTGGCACACCATGATAACATGTTATCACAATGTCTGATAACACACGCATACATGCGTGATAACGCACCTGATAACATGTTATCAGGACACGTGTTGACGTTATCACTCGATACATGGTGTTATCACGCATATCGTGATAATGCGTTATCACGACCGTGATAACGCATGTGTAGAAACCTGATAACGTGTTATCAGGCCGTTGTCAGGGTCTAGCGCAACGTCTGAAAACGCAATGCAAACCACCATCATCCTCCTCCTTACATGACACCCCTTCATTCTGTCACCTCACCTCCTCCACCGTCCTTTCTCCCCCGCCTCCTCCCTCCTCTTCCTCATCCTGCCCTCATCGTCATCACTCCCCCCCATCCTCCTCATCCTCCTCCTCCTCCTCGTCGTCCTCCTCCTCTCTTCGTCCTCCTCCTCCTCCTCCTCCTCCTCCTCCTCCTCCTCCTCCTCTTTCATCTCGTCC